TGTTTGCGAGATTATCCAAATTGCAGGTTGTTGTTAGTTATTTTTGGACAACTGGTTTTTTGTTTTTGTTATATGATTGTTTGCCAAGAGATTATTCAAATTGCAGGTTGTTGTTTTTGAGGGATTTTTGGGCAATTGCAGGTTGTTGTTTTTGAGGGATTTTTGGGCAATTGCAGGTTGTTGTTTTTGAGGGATTTTTGGGCAATTGCAGGTTGTTGTGAGGAATTTTTGGGCAATTGAGTTCAGTGAATCGAGCTGGGTTTGATGGAACCTATTTGCTGGGTTACATCAAACCCAGATCTGCTGGGTTTTGTTGAACATGGAAGGAAGAAAAACAGTAACCGATGGGCAAAGATGGTGATGTGGGACTCATTTGGATGTATTTGGCGCGATTTTGCCAGGTAACATGTGACATGGCAGAAGTTTTATGCATGTCATCACTTTTTTAAGTTTTGCTATCCACATCATCAAAAAAAATATAAAAAATGCCACCTAAGCAGGGTTAACGGCTCAAATTAACAGAAGGACTAACAAAGTGCATTTTGTATAGTTGAGGGATCAAAAAAGTGCAAAAAATTGTTAAGGGACCAAATTAAGCATTTAACCACATGAGCAATGCTAGGGGCACTTGCCTCCTACACTCTCCGGCCGACACTTCCCTTTTCATTGGGCCACGTAAGGTTGTTTCGGTTTTGGAAGTGCATCCTCTTTCAAAAAAACTAAAGGTTAAACCCCTATTTTGGTCCCTCAACTATCGTACGGACCCTCGACTTAGTCCCTCAACTCAAAAAATCCCTGATTTGGTCCCTACTGTTTACCATTTTGACCCCGATTTAGTCCCTCCGTTAAAAATCTAGTGACGTGTCCTTGATTAACAAAAGCACGATGACATGTCAACAATAAAGTGACACCTCAAACGCATACCTGGAAAAAAAAATGACATGGCAGTATGACTCATTCTGCCCCAAAACCAAACAAGTAAAAAAAGTGAGTCCCACCTCCTGCAAAACCTGAACCCTTCTCCCCCTTTCTTCCCTAAACCCATTCGAACCTAGAACAACAGTGCTCTCCAGTTCCTTAGCAAGCCTTGCCTTCTTCATCATCATCAACCAACCA